TTTGAGACACTGAAATTCAACTGCATATTTTTTCATATAGTTTTCAATTCCCCCCCCCCCAAAAAAAAATTAAATAAATGAGGTTTTATACATGCTCAAAAATAATTTATTGAGTTTTAACACAAGCTTTGAGAAAGTCTGACTCTTGGGCATTTTTATTGACTAAGCATCCTAGTATTCAAAGCATAAAAATTTTGAGGAAACCTTCCCTGAAGAATACTGGTACAGATTCAAACTTCCCTATAATAACCCTGAAGGTATTCTCTGCATGCAACAGACTCTTATTATGCAGTGTTTGATAAAGCCCCCCTCTTGTGTATTAGCAGTATTGATAAAACATTGATAATTAGGAAAGATCACACCAATACTAAGATTGCACTCATTTGGGACACCAGCCTAAGCTCCTAGTTAATGAATGAAGCAATAAATTTAATCTCCTTTTGCTATCTAGGACAGAACGCTGAGCTTTATTGATTTGGTGGACTAGAATTCACCATTATTACCTGGCTCAGCTTGGACAGATCCAAACAATATGCATGCTCATGCACATTTAATGTGATTATTATAAAGTGGCAATGTACAGTTCCAACAAAATGAATACTAGGTAGTGTTAAAAGAAAATTAAGCAAATTACAATGAAATATTTATCCATTATGCACTTAGAAGAAATCCAGAAATTTCCAGTTATTTTTTTAGTTTTTTACTTCATACTTACCTGACAAGCTTCAATGATATCTTTATCCAAAAGATATTGCTCTATGGTAGAAAGGAGCTCCGTTCTACCATATTTGACTCGTAATTTCTCCTTCAGCTTTAAAGTTGTTGCTGGAGAGTTTCCAGGTGTGCTGAGGAAACTGTCATCCAGCGTCTCCGAAAATGTGGGGGAATGCGAGCGGCTGCTCACCTGACTGCTCAGCGTGCTCGCTATAGACACATCGTCCCCCACCACTCGCCGTCTTTTGGCCTCTGATGGAGAATCTAAAAGGTTGGTTCCGCCATAAGATTTTTCCCTGTTGAAGCTCATTTTTTCCTCGAAATTATTTTCCCTCTCTGTATGTGTCAGAAAGCCGACAATATTGATTCTAAGAACTGCTCAGTTTCTATATTTTCTTAGAATCATTTATTTCCCAGAGGTTTGTTTATTGTTTGTGATTCCAAGCCATTTTCGTTTCCGTAAGTATCCGTCCCTGTAAAATTTTGATGGACATCAGTTCATTTGCATCGTGGTTCTGTCTATAACTCCTTTATCTTTTTGAACCACACATCAACAAGTAACCTGAAAATATACAAAACATCGGCTATTTAGCTTTAAATTATCCTCAATCGTCTACGATTAACCAAAAAACATGGTGATAATGACTTCAACACTTTGAGGAAGCACTCAACCTAAACAGAAGAAAGTTGTTCCATGTAAATACATTACCTGCTAGCATTTAACCACTTAATGCACAGAGTTCATGTTTGACCTTTGCCAATCACAGCACTATTAGAGTATAACAAATGTGTTTGCCCAAACTCCATTAATAGTGGACAGAAAACATACCCATGTTTGGCATAGTCCATTTCTCTTTACACCTTTCCTATATCTTCTCAATAAACATGATAAATATACCTGTGTTCCTTCACATCAACATTAGCATTATTACACATTCTCCCTTTCTTTCTCTTAAGAGTATCAGCTAAATATATGCCTCACAGACATGATATAGTACTAATACTGTTCTAACCAGAAGCATCAGGTGGAAAATACCTTTATACAGCATCAAGTCACTCTTCTCAAATGTTCACCCAAGCTCACTATCTAATCAGGTATAAAATATCCAAAGAAACCAATTCCAATATTTCAAAAAACAAATTTTCACTCATGAATGAGAGAATATCTCTAGATTAGAGGAGAAATGTGCACTCTGTGTGAAATATTTTTAGATGATTCAGGCTGCTGAGGGAATGAGGCCCTCCCAGAGGGGAGGAGTAAATCACATGTAAACACAAGATGCTTATCTGCTCCCTCTCTAATGCTCTGAACATAATCAGCCATTAGCAGACAAGAATCCATGTCCTACACCATGGCCTTACACATATACTTCTCAGATGTTAAAAATGATTAATGAGTGTCCAAATCATGAAGAAACTGACTCCAGGCACAAGTCTGAAGTCAATGAAAACTAAAAAGGCATGAAAATACCTGGTAACCAGATATTCAGGGAGCAAATTAAAACTGACCAATGTTCATAAGAAAATTATCTGACCATCTGCAGTAATTGCCAATACGCTTAAATTTAGCAACAGAAGCAGCAAATATAACCCAATTGTGACATTAGATGCTAGATGACAATCGATTCACGCTTTTTCTGAAATCGTGGTCTGAACATTCCACAGAATACAATAGCATAAGAGGTCTCAGGTAAAATTATCTGACACAATAATGGAGACTGACCAAGGTATCAGCGGTACTTGAGGGCGATTAGTACCTATAGTGAACAATCATTAGATGACAATAGGTTCATTATATTCCCAGTCTAGGAAGTGATGTGTATTGGAGTTTAAATTTTCATACAAACAGCAGGGAGTCCTTTTTCTGTTGCGGGAAAAGTAGCACAATTTCTATTGATTAAATAAATCCATGGCTTGTCAAATACCAACATCACATGAATTTGAAACATTTTTCTCTGTTCAATATCTCTCTTCTTCAAACCCATTCACACATATTAATGAAGTTTTACATCAATATCTAGGTTGCAGCCGTTTACATCAATATTTAGGTAGCGACACTCCAAATCTTTACATCAATACTCACAGAAATTGATCACACATACCATGTGAATAAATCTTTAATCTATAACCTTACTACTCTTGTAACAGAGCCAAGTGCAACTCAAACAAAATTATTTATTTAAAAAACAACTAGAGGAGATTGATTTACAGTCAGCTAGTACAAAAAATCTGCCTGGGAAAAATCTAAAACACTTTGATATAAACTAAGTACGCCGATATGTTGCAGAGGCAATTTCTCTCTTTTTTTTAATTATCAGGCATGCGAGCAAATCAATATTGATTTTCAATTAGGGTGGTAACACATATTACAATGTGGCTAAAATATAGCAGTGAATGTGATAAATGAGTAATCTACCTTCAAGTCCAAAACATCTTCTCTTTTTAACAATAGATGGGCAGAAATGTCCAGTGTGATTTACCAGCCACTACATTTTTGTGTCAGTTCATTTTTTATGCATCGTGTACACGGTTAAAAGTGTGTCAACTGAACAGCTTTACGATTTGAACAATGCTTCTGGCAAGCTTACAGACCAAGGCATTCACGTGAACAACCCCAAAAAACAGGTTTAACTAACAAAGTAAATAACTTGCATTGCAATATAATTGCAGTGCACAACATACCTTAACATGTTCGGTTAAAATGGACGGCTTCATGAGAAATTATTTCATTCAAAAACAAAATGTTGTCAATATGAACAGTGTGAATTCAATCTTTTGAAACCTACCAAATATTCTTCAATCAATCTCCATGTGACATTAGGGGGAACAGATTGCCAGACTATTCACATTTGATATACATGTATATATGTAAAGTATACAGTACATGATGACATGATATATGTAAAAAGGAAGACTTCCATCAACAAGATCACTTTAGATTAGGATTGATTACGATGATTGGGGAATCAATTGCAGACACATGTGAATACACTGTTGCTCAGATCTGTTCTATCTCCTTTATAATGCCAAACATATACTCCCTTGTCAAACATGTGCACTTGCTGTAACCTTCCATGTTGTAAACAGGTTGGTCTCAAACCCAGTAGCCACAATATCCATAAGGTTGTAAGCAGTCTATTTTTTATTAACACTCTTTATGGTTAAGTAATGTAGGCCAAGTTTACATTGTCTCATCGTATTTAATAGCATTTTCATCAAATTATGCATTAGCTAGCTTTTGTCATGAAATAATATGCCACAAAATGGAATAAGAAAACACCATCAACTTTGTATAGTGACTAGTGTCTACCATCCAACCAAATATGAAGTGAGGAAAATGGACATTGTTTTTCGCAAATTTTTTAACCACTTGCAATACTTAATGTAACATTTTGTACAAGGGCAATTGTTTATGTACAGATGTGTCTACCTTGAAATTTTTATCATCTATTTCTCCAAAATATGAAGGATGAGAATCAAAAGAAACTAAGCTCTAGATATTATTACAGACCCTTGAAACTAATGTAAAACATGTGTTATATGGTCTTAAAACAATGAACATTTCACAGCTTGGCAAACCTTGATGGTGAATCTGTCTTATTTCTCCTCATTACAATAAATCAACAAGTGGTTTTTAACTTCTTGTATAGGATAATATGCATGTGTGTTTATCATAAAATATAATTTGAATAATAATTGAAATACACATATGGTATACATTAAAAATTATCCTCCATACATTTAGCACACATACACTTAATCTGTATCAAATTACAGAGTTCAGCATGCATCAGATGTAATAAAAGATCCTAGTTTTCCTGCACCATCACCAGAACAGAAAATGGAACTCACTACTTACCACTAAGTCAAATCTCTGATTAAAACCTCTGGTAATACACAGGTTTACCAAATGTTCCTTAAATGTCTATATATATATATATATATATATATATATATATATATATATATATATATATATATATATATATATATATATATTTTATATATATATTTTATATATATATATATATATATATATATATATATATATATATATATATATATATATATATATATATATATATATGCAGGTACTCTCTTACTTACTCTACAGATAAAGTGGACATTAACAATGATATGGCTTCATGTCTTAACATTCTAAATGGGTGTTTACAAATATTACATAAAAGTATTGTCCAGTGTGAATGTTTATCCTCTATAGGATGAGGATGTGGACTCGGATTACGCAAACAGTAGCAACTGATCGAATGTTAGCATTACCCTACTCATAGGGTCCTGTTTGACGCATCATTGATAAAATTTTAAATTCATACACATGCATTTCTCGTGGTTGTTTTTTTTTGTTAATTTTAATATAACCTAAAACATCACCTAAACTTTTGTCTACGTTAACTGTTTTATATATACATTAAACTGGACTTGTTTCGGCAAGATGTCTTGTGCAATGGTAAAGAAAAACATATCTGACGTCCCCGTAATGAAAATTTACACGATTTGCATCCCTATTTATCAAAATAAATCATTTTCTAAAAGACGAATCATGTGATGTGTATAATAACCTTGGCACATAGCATAGAAGGTTTCCAAACTGGGTGACTTGAAAAATACAGCGTAATCCAATAAAATATGCATCCTATATTCACCTCTGATCGATTTTGGAAATTCTCATGCAAAATATAAAGCCAAATTTACATGGGCTAGTTCAGGTCATAACCCATTTGGGATATTCTATCGTTTTGGGGAGATCTGAGTTGTCAAAATTTTGAAATCACTTTCAGACATTTGGTCTGATAAAGTAAAAAGGTTCTGTCAGACCGGACAAAGTTTTGTCAGACCAGATACATGTAGCTCATTTTGTACAAAAGGGAAAATAAATTACTGCACCAAAATGCCTTTTATTATTTTCTACAGCCATCGATCTCAAAACTTTCTCTTCCTATGATAGAGAGTTTATAATCAGAGACATAAAGAACATGATTTATCTCTCTGCTTTAACAAATTTGATCATCTTCACCACGTGGCCATCTCTGCTGTTTTTGTGACCTTCATTTGTGCATCCCGATCCAAATCTTTTAAAAAATTTTATCATATACTTAGTAGTAAATACCCCGATTCTGCACTATGCGATATGGGTGACTTCACAATACCCCATCTCAAGGACTGGTCCGAAAATCCATATCACGTATCGGACTGGCATGCAAAAATCCATATCAAACCAGAAGTAACGTTTATATGAAGTTTAAAAGTTAATTAACTTGATTTTATTTAAATATACATGTAAAATAATTCTTTACTAACATCTATGGACTTAACTTGTTTTCAAAACCTAACATTGGCTCTATTAGATTTTAAAGGAAAAGGTCATAAACATGCAAGAAACATTTTTCAATGACTTTATGTGAACTTGCATATAAGCATTTTAAATATATGATAAACAGAATTATACTACATACTGAAATCCATATCATATATGATATCAGCCCTCAGACCCTAAATGATTTTAGTATGTAATATTCTCTATATATTACACCATTTTTCCAAATGGTCATTTCAACTGATGTCTTCTTGTTAATCAATTTTTTACCGGCCTTGCCAATAGGATGAAGGGTTTTTCAACAACTTTGGAGATTCGTTCCATTCCATGATATAAAGGACCAAAGACATGAAAAGGATTCATCATTTGTTATTTTGTATGTTATTTATGTCTCTGGTTGAACTTCACAGACTTTCCTCAGTAACTTCATAACAAATGAATTTGACAAAGATCTGTAAAGGTTGAACACTGTAATCATGATAATTTTGTTTCTTCTATGTAAAGTTCAGCAAGTGACACTTGGAAGAAGGAAGCGCGAACCTTTGTCAAAAGTTTTTAATTTATCAAAAGCAGTGGACTTGTTGAAAATCCAAGAGATCTATTTTTCTTTGCAAGGAGCATAAGTTTACAAGCATACTGATTTCATAGAGAAAACTCAAAAATTCAAACTTGATCATGCCAGTGATATGCCGATAGACTGTATCATGCTATTCCGTATCACTATGTGAAATGAGAGTAACATAATTCAGATGTAGGCATTGGTCTGACCCTATTTATATTCTTACTTTGTATTTCAAATTACACTTACCTTTAAAATATTAACGTGTTCATGATCAGCGCGCACCTGATCCACCATTGATGATTTTTACTCATCCCGTATTCAACTTGTAAATACGAATTTGATTGGATGACCTATTTATGACGTCAACTTTGGCGGCGGATCTTATATTTGAGTGGTGTTTCAGCTTTAAATAAAGTTGATTATTATTTATAAAGACCGATTCATGATTATGAAGTTTTAAATAATAATTATTCTCCGAAATTATAAATATATTCAAAATGTATTGCAAAAGCCTTAAAGACAGTAATTCAAATTGGCATTATCCATTGATTAATGGAAATAATAATAATACAAGGACTGAAAGTAATATATCATTACGATTTGGTTTTTGAAGAAAAAAAAGAAGAAATGATTATGGTCATTAGGCCTACCTATTGACCTACATTTACAGCAAAAATCCCCAAAACTCATTGCGAACATTGTTTCCTTCTTTATTTATAAACTTATCTGGAACGACTGGCCTGAAAATCGCAACAATTATAATAAAGAATTCCGGTAGACGAATTTCCACTGATAATGATGCAATTTCATTCTGCATATGAACTCATCGTGATTATACCTTTTTTTCTCTCAACCTGTCTTAAAGGCCACCTTTGTTAATTATGCCATGTGTAGGTCTAGTCCCTGAATTGATTACTTAGAGAAAATATGATCAGATTATTTGAGGATGTGATTACCTAACATATACTTACCGAGCATTAGAGAGGGATTTTCCTGGTCTTTGAGGACATTTTGCGGGAGGAATCCTCGTATCCTCCTCAGAATCTCCTTTCTCCGACACCTACAGGTGTGACGTTCCACTTCAGTAACCAAGCTCTTTCTGCATAACAAATGGCTAGACATTTAATGCATTGTCACGCTTGGCTAGCGGTGCTGCAATACACATAACAGCTTCGGGACATGAATTCACACAAAAGAGCTTATTATAATATTCTTTAACAGAATTCCTGAGCTATCAGTCTATTCAAAGACATCTTTTATAAGTATGGAATTTGTGTACCTAATTGATCATTTCAAGGTACATATCCCATACATTGCCTTCACTAGTACCCTGTTAATCAGAGATTTTCTTTTAAAAGAAAATAAACATTGAATCAATATCTGGGGATCGTGAGATTTTTAGCAACTGTACTATTACAATTCATTTTTTTTTAACATTCATTACTTTGAACCTGACGCAAGCTATTTATGTCTGTTTGAATCAATGCATTTCTACCATTGGGTTCATATGTCGCTGAATTTAATTTGAAATCAGTGGCCAAACAATTTTTCTGTAGTATCTACGTCAGTGTTTTTAGTCAGTACGTTAATTCAATGAGAATAAAATTATTTAGACTAACATTCTCCCAAAAGAATGATTATGTTCTTTTTCCTGATTTAATCAATCTTGTATTAATCCTTTTTTTCTCCCTAGTATGATTTGAAAGAAATACTTTTCTTCTATATTTCCTTAAAAAAATATTACATTAAAACCCTAGTTTGCTGAGAAAAGAAAGAAATCAAGTATAGTTGCCCTTTTTAACGCCAGGGATGGCAAGAGATGTCACTCAGTAAAGAAGCATACATGTGTGTTTGCGTCTTGTGCGCACAAATGACAACGTTACTGTTACATTCAATTTCGTATAATTTGATAGCAAAGCTAGAAAAAAAAACTTACAACTTATACGAAAAATTGAGTAAGAATAAGTTGTGTTTGTGAAACACTGATGCCCCCGTATGGCAACATATAGCAAAGGTTAAACTTTCTCAAATGCAAATCAGATATGATGCTACCCAAAGTAAGGTCTCATCTCGATAAATAAACCTGTGAAATATGAAAGCCCTAGCAGGAACCATTGAATAGATATGGAAAAGGTTAAAGTTTTTCAAAAATAAGTCATACATCAAGGTCAAGGTCAAATGGTCAAAATTAATGGTGCCCCCTCTCCCAAAAAATACACATGTGAAGTATGAAAGCCGTAGCACGAATCGTTCAAAAGTTATGGCCAATGTTAAAGTTTTTCAAGAGTAGGTCAAACTCCAAGGTCGAGGTCAAAGGGTCAAAGTTGTTGGTATGCAAAGGAAGGTCTTGTCACAAGGATTACACAAGTATGAAAGCCCTAGCACCAACTTTTCAAAAGTTATGGCCAAGGTTAAAGTTGGGTAAATTTTGTAAAACTGGGTCAAACTCCAAGGTCAAGGTAAAAAATGATGGTACCCAAAGAAAGGTCTTGTCACAAGGAATACACATGTGAAATATGAAAGCCTTAGCTTCAACCGATCAAAAGTTATGGACAATGTTAAAGTTTTTGCGGACAAACAGACAAACAGGCAGCTAGACAGACAGACGGACGGACAGGGCAAAAACTATATACCCCCGAATCTTCGATACGGGGGCACAAAAAAGGGTTAATTAACCTATGATTTTCCTGATGTGAGTGTTATCCTGCATTTTGCCGATTGACTGTATTTCGTCTACACTTACAGGAAAGTCGAGTACACATTGTACATGCAAATTAATTTCCTAAACCTAAAGATATTCCTTTCTATTTTTTCACTAACATTGAATTATAAGCATTGACTATATAAATTATTTTGTTCATCGAGGAATAAATCTATAAAACGATTCGTACACTTTTTTATGCCCCCGTATAAATTTCTGCGAAGAAAGGGGAGGGGGAACACTGCTTATAGAACACCGGAATTTTACATTCCACAGTAAGAGTTCTGTATGTTAATATTTTTCAATATGTCTGCGCCCATGGAAGTTTGATCTGCTGAAAATTGAAATGGTTAATTCAACTCTAAGTATTGACGTTCTTTCAGTTTTTAACGATGAAAACTTCGAGTTTTTATTTGATTATTTTAATGATAAGCCTGAATGTTCTCAGTGTAAGAAACTTAGAGGAAAACTTGGCATCCAAAATGAGAGCAGAAAGAATGGCAAGAATGAGGTATATTAAACAGGTCCAGTACAATCAGTACATTTAGCTACGTAGCTAAAATTACCTACCGTAGCTTTATTTACCTACCTCAGGTAGCTTTATTTAGCTATTTCAAGGCAACTTTTCACAATTTTGCTACTGATTTTAAAGAGACAAAAAGTCGCAAGTAAATGTCTGCTAATATTTATTCTAGGTATTATTTAAAAAGCAATCTAAAGCAAAGATAGTTTTAACATTGCTGCGTTTGAACTTTTAAGGAAAATATGTATTTCCATTGTTTGAGTAACTGTACACCACCTTGTGTGCGATGAGACGTTGATAAGTATGATTACTTCACATTGTGCTCATGTTAACCAAAACTGGTTTTCTTTGTTATTTCACTCAAGAAGTAACTGTTAGGTCACAAATGAACTGTTGTATAAAGCCCCAAAACCTTTAAAACTTTGATTGCAATTGCACAGAAAAAACACATCCCCAAGAGTGATTTTTTCATGAATTGTTTTCAGATAATTAAGTTCAAAGTTGAAAACTATCACTGCATCAAAGTGCAATTTTCTGCACTTTCTGGGAAAAATGCTAATTTAAGAAATAAGTTTGATTTAGTAGCTAAATAAAGCTACTACAGGTAGGTAAATAAAGCTATGTAGGTAATTCAAGCTACGTAGCTAAATCTAGTGATTGTACCAGACCTGTTAAAGGTTGTCTTTGACATAGTCATACTTTATTGAGGACAATCGCAAACTTTTTAAAGTGTTTAATTGTTTATTTTTCCTTTTTTTTTTTAAATTGCACAGGCATAGCGGTTGTAGGCTATGTCTGTTTATTTCTCTAAAGAGAATAGATATTATGTGGTTTTATTTCTTGTTTTTTTTTCTCCTACAAATGAAACTCATCTATGGAAAAGGTTTCTTAGAATTGCTTTTGAGAGATAAAGTAAAAATAAAGCCTGTTCTCTGTTGATTTTTATAGACAGCATTTTCAAAAATGTTCAAGAATTTTCTTTTCACCCAGCTGTTGCTTTATAAGCTCATGTACTTGCTTTGAATATAAGGATACATGTATATATACCCTATGCAGGGAAGTTGCACTGTATATTGAATTTTTCTTTGGAGGGTGATACAGATGTTATTTCATGTTTATTTAGCCTTCTGTACATCTAATCTTATGAACTTTGAGTGCTTTTAAATTGAAGATAATTTTTATTATTAAATTCTTCAAATTAGCTAGCATGCTTCATGTTTAATAGTAATCAGACCTGCCAACCCTTGATTCTCTATTTCTCTTTCTCGTTGACATTATTTAAAATTTCATGTTTTCATTATGTTCCTTTCTCTATATCAATGTTTCAGATGTGGTTATGAATTAAAAACACTTTGGACAGCTGAGCTAGCTCATGCACCATTTGCTGCGGCTCCTCTTTTAACCCACATAAATGATGATGAAATACTGGACATTGTGGCTGCTCCATTTAGTGAGAGCTTCTCTGTATTAAATTCAGAAACTGGCAAGATATTGCAGAAAACTGCATGGCCAGCACTTAATCTGGATAATTCTGTTCATGCCAGTCCAATTCAGGTAAATTTCTTTGTTACTTGTTTGCATATACTGTAATGTTGTGTGTATTATGTACACTTTTTAAAGCAACTTTTTAGCAAAGTTGGGGTAGCACATTATACATAGGGTGAATTCACCATGCATCGGACACCCTTGCACTTCAACAAGTTCAAGCGATATCGCTACCGACCGAATATTATCAAAATGGAACTTTACATGTAGTATGTGGTTACAATATAATTTTTTGACACAATCGTGCCCTATTTATTGAGAAAATATCATTAAAAACCGATTTTTTTCGAAATAAGTCAGAATTCACCATGGATCGGACAATATTCACCATGCATCGGACATACGATATTTAAACCAGAAAAATATCATACCTTGATCTCGGTGCTTTAAAATTAATGATATCGAAACATTTTTATCTTTTACTTAAAAATTAACCTTCTAATTAAATTTGAATGACTATTTCGATCCACAAATATGAAGAGATTTTAGTTGTATCACATCGCCTTAGAAAGGCTTTACAATGCCAGTAATATGGCAACTCGCGCCTTTGTCTCGTGGGCTATAATCATCTAGTTTAAAGAAATAAATTGAGTCCAATTCTAGTCGTCATATATCGATAATTTGTATTTTCACTGAAAATACAGAGTTTCTATTTTCTATTTCCGTAAAAAACATCCGTCATTTGGGTTTTACATGAACATGGAAGTGATTACCCATGCATCGGAAAGTGTCCGATGCATGGTTAATTTGTGTCCGATGTACGGTGAAATAAACATACTAGTCAAAAACAACTCTAAAATATATTATACAAACATTGAAGTAAAATTTTTGAAAAATTTCTGTAATATTATCAATCACTGACAAATTTTACCAAGGTCCGACCCGTTCCGTTGACGTCTATTTAAAAAAACGACAACTCTAAAAATTGCAAAATCGTAAATTTCTGGTTACTCCCCTTTGATGATGCAAAATATGACGTAATTTCAAGGCCATTCTTTGTGGTATTTTTATCACAACATGAAAAAAAAATCGACATCATTAAAAAGTTTAATTCTTCATCTTTAAGACAGAAAGGAGTAAAAACACGGGGAGACTCAGGTTCAATGAAAGTTTATTGCTTAAAGTTGTCCGAAGCAAGGTATGTGTCCGATGTATGGTTAACTCACCCTAGTACAAAACATGACATCATATTAACATTTGTTCAAATCATGGTCCATTAGGATAGAGTGGGAATGCAATGGTTTGTAGAATTTGTAAACTTTACAAAACTTTACCTGAGTTCACACTATACATGTACATGCAACATTACAGTAGTATGCCTGTATATACTCATCATGTATAGTACATTTTTATGCCCCGCCATGAATATGGCCGGGCATATAGTGTTTGTCATGTCCGTCTTCTGTCCTTCCATCCTTCTGTCCTTCCGTCTGTCCTTCCGTCACACTTTGCGTTTAGCTCTGTTCAAAGCTCAGTTTCAAAGAAACTATCCAAAGTATTTTTATCAAACTTCATATGCTGATAGATATTGATGTGAGCTATGCAACTGCATCAACATTTTTTTACCTTGACCTTTCATTTGACCTTAACCTCACTTTTCTTAAATTAGTGTTTAGCTCAGTTTTAAAGATACCATTCAAGGTAGTGTAATCAAACTTCATATGTTGATACATACTGATGTAAGCTATTCAACTGCATCAACATTTTTTGACCTTGACCTTTCATTAGACCTTGACCTCACTTTTCTTAAATTAGAGTCAAACTTTATATGCTGATACATACTGATGTAAGCTATTCAACTGCATCAATATTTTTTTTACCTTGACCTTTCCTTTGACCTTGACCTCACTTTTCTCAATTTGTGTTTAAACTCAGTTTTAAAGAAACCATTCATAATATTCTTATCAAACTCCATATGCTAATACATACTGATGTAACCTTTTCAACTGCATCAACATTTTTTGACCTTGACCTTTGACATTAACTTCATTTATTTTAACTTAGTGTTTAGCTCAGTTTTGAATAAACCATTCAAAATATTTTTATCAAACTTAAATATGCCGATACGTATTTGTGAGAAGTATTCAACTGCATCAAAAACATTTGACCTTGAACTTTCCTGTGACCTTGACCTCACTTTTCTTAGCTTTGCATTTTGCTTAATTTCAAAGAAACCATTTAAGATATATTTATGTAAGTTTATGCACTTATACATAATTTGGCGAGAATTTATAATCTATATCCAACTTTTTAGATTTCAATTTCAATTTTAAAGAAACTATTCAAAATATTCTCATCAAATTTCATACACTAATACAAATTTTCATGTTAAATTACTAATATACCCTCGGCGGGGCATTCATGTCCTATGGACATATTTCTAGTTGAATTTATATTCAGTCATTTGTCATTTTGTACATTGTAGTTTGATGTCGATGACGATGGACAGTTAGACATTCTCTTTACAATGTCTTCAGCTGAATTAAGATTTTATACACCTAATGGACACTTGTTAAGAGATAAAACAATTCAGGTAAGTCTAAATATATATATAAGCATTAAAAAAACAATGTAAATATTTTTTTTAACATTATATTCATTATCTGTTGTAACCTTTAGGTAAGAAGAATTCATATGAGCAATATGTTGGAAAGTATGAAAAAGACAGTAATGAGTAATACATGTATTTCTTTTGTAAAGAAATAATTTGTTCAATTTTCAATAGATGAACTCCTATTTTGATGCACTGTATATGTACTTTTTATACATGGACTAAGAATGTAAATTTTTTCCCCCAGCTTCCCCCAGCTTATGTAGCAGCTGATTGGTATAAATTAGAACTCACTGTCAAATTTGAAGATCTAAAGAAATATACCTCACTGACACAACGAAAGGTGTGTTATTTCTTTAAGAAATTAAAAAAAAAATCAAAACAATTTAAAGAAGTTCTATATTTCTGTTCATAATCTTTTAACTAAAACAATCTTCTTACTATAAGTAAAAAAAAAAAAACTTAAAAATTTGTTTCCTTTCAGGACATTAATTATCTGCCAATTGATCCTCATGTTTTGGCCACACCTGTGCTTGCTGATATTAACAATGACAACAGAGTAGAAGAATTAGTGATCCCTGTCTCTTATTTCTATGAGGAGGATGACTACAGGGTGAATGAAAAGTTGGAGAGATTAGGTGGTCTGAATTTCTCTGATATTGACAAATACTTAGTGGCTGGTGTTACTGTGATGAATTTAACTACAGGGGAGACCTTATGGAGCTCTCTCTTAGATCTCACACAGGTACCAGTAGGAAATTTTGTCAATGAATTCTTCTTTTCAAGAATTCCAAATACTGGTAATAGAGATTTTTTTTACATCTGCATTATTTTCACTATTATGAGGTATATTACGTATCTTAGAAGACAGGTTCAAAAGTGAAAGAATTAATATAAGATGAAAAAAAAAATTGACCAAAAAGAACTGAAAGCAGTTTTCAATATATGTATTTTAAAAATACACTTTAGGTTGATGCAACATTCCCTGCCTACAATATCTTCTCTCCCACTGTGATTGACCTTGATGTGAAGGGAGGTCAACTAGAGGTCATTGTAGGCACATCTGCTGGGAGCCTCTTTGTATTCAACCATGATGGCTCCTTACGGAAAGGCTGGCCCATTAGTCAAAATACCATACATGGACAGGTAAGTAAAGACTGATATATGGGCAGATTATAGTACACATTTCATAATTTCTGTACCTCTATAGAAGGGTCCATGTCAAAAAGTACAGTATGTTTTAATTCATGAAAAAGGAACCACTGCCTTATAAATAGACTTTTTTTTATTTTGACATTCTCTTACAAAAAATGGAGATATACATGAAATAAGATACCATGCAGTTCAAAATGTTATCTTTTGAATATAAAAGTTACACACAGCAGGAATAGTGAATTAATAATTTTTGAGTGATCTTTTATAAGCAGGGATTCATTCTGCCTTTATTTGTACAGTATACGCAGGTGAGTTAAGGCTAGGTGTAGGCATTTCTATGCAAATAAACTAATTAAAATGCCTAAGGACTATATCTATTATACAGAGAAAGTTAAAACTTATTGCCTAATACATACTGGGTACCCACGACATGCGATAGCCAGTACACATTATGACGTCATATTATGACGTCGTTGTTCTTTACATGCTGTATTTTATTTAACGGAAATAAGTTATATTTAGAAGCAAAATATTCCAAAGATTGGTGGTATTGCTGCACAAATATCAACAGCTCATTTGTATAATTTCTATTTGTAAAGTTTTAAGTTGAATCAGGGTAAAAATGTACAGTCCGGTATAAGTTTCCTCATATTCCGATCAAATGAGAAAATGCCTAGGATTTGTGCAGCAGTTTTATTAATCTACAGAATATTCTTCTTAGCATTATACAATTTTTATGTAAAATTGAATAGGGTAATCCTTTGTACCCAAGCCGTTTTGTTGATGTGTTTAATACCTCCAGTAGGTAAGAACAATGACGTCATAATGTGACGTCATAATGTGTACTGGCTATAACAGATGGTGGGTACTAAGTATGCATAAGAAAATAAATCAAAACTTTCTATGAATAATAAATATACATCTTATGCATTTTTATTAGCTCATTTGCATAGAAACGCCTATACTTAGCCTTAACTGACATGCGTAACTCTTAATTGCATCAGATAATTTCTCTTTAAATTGTCTTGACATATTCCACCTTGAATTTTACTAAAGCATTCCTCCAAAATTGTACTAGAGTATTCTTCCTTAAATTGTACCAGGATATTCCTCTATAAGTTGTACCAGATTATACCTCCTTAAATTTTACTAGAGTATTCCTACTTAAATTGTACCAGAATATTTAATACTCATTAGGTTCTACCAGAGTATTTCCCCTTAAATTCTACTAGAGTATTCCTCCTTGTACCAGAGTATTTCTCCTTAAGTTGTACCAGTGTATCTTATATTTACTAAGTATCAATCACAGTCTTCTCTCTCTTTCTCTCTCTTTATTGAGCAACTACCATACTCATATCTAAGTACATGTACATATATCTCTGATGAAAATTCCATATTCTTTATTTTTTTTAAAAAAAATTTGTAGTTTGTTTAAGAAATTAAATTTGATACAAATGAGTTGATTATTTAGATAACAGCGACAGACTTGGCTGGAGATGGAGTTGTGAAGTTAATAACTATAGACACCAGCTCCAATGTTATCTGTTATAACAAAGGGGGTAACAAGTTGTGGGAATCCACCGTCTCTGGTACCTCGTCCCCGGGGAGTCGTGTGTATGATGTCAACAGAGATGGGGTCCTGGATCTCATTATTACTACAAATGATGGGTTGGTTTTGCCACTTTCTTTGTTGTTTATTAGTGATACTATAAGTTGTTTTAATTCCACAGAGCTAAAATTTCATGATTTGTTACAAAGGTACCAACTGCGATGGATTTAATTTCACCTCATAGGTGTGTACCTTAATTGTAATACTTTATTATGTGATCTGATAACCTTATTCACTGTGAGTTTAATTTTAAGCAAAAATGATAAATTGTGAAAATAGTGAAATTAATAATATAATTTTCTAGGGATGGCAATCGAATACAGAATTGCCAATTGGTTTAACGCAGTAGGTTATCCCTATAATTTTCCAATCTACAGAATATAGAATTTCGAAATAGAAACTAGATTTCTTACATATAAACTGTTTTAGCCGATAATTTCTGAAGGTCCATTATTTTGTGGTATTTCATGTTCCATCAAAGATTCAAAGTCACAAAGCATAAAATTGCAGAATACATGAATCCCCTTTCATCTGTTTAGCCAGTTTAGTGGTAAGGTATTTATAAAAATTAAAATTGCATATATATTAGTGCACTCAGAGAAGGACCAAATTTTCCAACCATAGAAATTATCATACTCTCTATATTGAGGAAGTGATTTTGAGGTATAAACTTAATTTTGACACTAAAACACTGATCTCAGACAAGCACCTGCTGAGTTGACTTTGAACCTGACGGGAAAAAAATGTTTATCAAATTCATGTTTAAGTTATTTGGTTGATGGCTTGGAGTACCATTTCAGCCATTTCTCTATATGTATTTTCCTCTTTAAGATTTATTTTAATTTTAATTCCTCTGGGAACTAGTATTTCTCTTTCTTAAATGTCAAACTTTTAACAAGAAAACAAAAGAAACTTAATTCATTATCCCAAATTAATTAAGCTTCTTTTCTTAATGGTCAATTACATACATGTATTAATGATGAAAAGAAAATTATAATATCTCTAGAAACAGGGAAAAAATATTAACTTTTCAATATTTTTAGGTATATCTATGCATTAAATGGTGTGGACGGTGCAGTGATAGAAGGTTGGCCTATCTCTATTGGTGCCCGAATGACTGCCAATGTTCTTATCTCTCGAGTTTCCACCACGCATACCACTCCAGACATGGTAATTAATTCACATTGTCACACATACCACTCCAGACATGGTAATTAATTCACATCGCCCTTATCTCACAAGACATGGGAGTCTTCACCACTTATGATATTTAAATCTCAATATTCCTATCACACCAAAGATGTATGTTTCCGACACTCATTCAATGCCAGATACTGGTAACTCACAAAGTGCTTATCTCAAAAAAATGTGCAAGTCTTTACCACTGACACCATGTCAGACATGAAGATTAACTTACAATGTCCCTTTCATACATAACAAAAGTCTATCACTCATACCACTCAAGAAAATGGTAACTCACAAAGTCCTTATCTTACAAAATGTGCAAGTCTATACCACTTATACCGCTTCAGACATGGTTATTAAATAACAATGTCCCTATCAGAAAAAAGCACCATCCTGGCTATTCAAGTGCCCAGTTGGCATCCTCTGATCTTTGAGAGATGAAAGAATACTACTTAGACACTTGGCTAACAAAGATAACAAAACACATGAGTCTCCAACATAATGAACAAAAAAAAAAAATAGCAAGTATAAGCTTCAAACGTGGCAATTCACTTTTAAAAACTGTTTGCCGGATATTTCCAACACATACTATTTTAGTTATGATTTTCAATTCACTGCTCTTACAACTTTATACTTGTTAATTCACATACACTCATACAGTGTTCTTGTCACATGAGTTTCCTACATTAACCATTCATACAACTCTTGCTGTGGTTATAAATTTATATTGCCAGACAGCTTGACTCTTTATGAATTATACTCATGCATTTTAGTAATATCTTGTCTCCAGATGTCTTTATATTTTAGTAAATATATGTGAACCTTTATTAATTTTATGCTTATATAGTTAAATTTATTGTACATTCCTAGCATGAAACAATTTATACTGTAAACCAAATGCTGCGAGAATATATATTTCTTACTTTTTCATATTTGAAAATGTACTTTCAATCATCTCTTTTGAAAGGTGGTAGTAGCAGATGATGGATCAATCCACTTAATATCCATGGATCTAAAATGTAAATCACAGATTCCTATTGGTGAAACTTCATTGGTCCAGGTTTTGTCACATGACTTAGTGAAATGGTTCTCTGGGATGGAGCTACTGGTTGCTACTAGTGATGGCACAGTGATGTGCTTAGCAACTGGACCAGAACAAGCAGAAATTCAGGAGAGTACTGACAAAGCTTTAAGGACTAACCATATGTGGTCATTGTCATCTGAAACAAAGACAGTAAATGACTTCTCCTTTTCAGAGAGAAAGGTATACATGCACTGTACTCAGAAAAGTATCAGTATTTAGTTTTGTGCATGAACATGAATTAAAATTAAAAAAAAATATAATATGCACATTATTCCTGTAAAATTCCTGTGAAATCAAATGTGAAAAGAGCACTATAGGCATACATTTTAGTTGGACTTGGAGAAAATAAATTCTATGATTAAAAATAAGTTTATTTTTAATAGCCAGGAGTGTATGTAACATTGTTCACCAGAAAGCAACTAGAGGTGACAGGAGAGACATTTCCTGTGGAGTTTGAAATCATTGACCCAACATTCAAACAAGGCACATCCAAGTATTTCATCTCTGTAAGTAGTATCACTTCACGTTACTGGCATCCCCCTCCCCCAGCACTGTATTCTTAATTTCTGTTTAAAAGTCTGTATGACAAAATTATCAGTGTCTTATAATTTCAGATATATTATGGGAATCGTCTATTGATGAATGGAGAATTTCCAGAGCCTAAGACATATTATGTATATGTGCCAGCGGGGGAGGAGCCAAGTCATGGTCATGTGACTGTGAGACTGACCAATCAGTATGGACAAGTATTTGAGGACAGATTCTCAATTAGGTAAATTATAACAATAAGAAATTTAGTTATTTAGTTTTTAGCTCTACTGGTCAGAGACCAGAAGAGCTTATGCGATAGTAAGGTGTCCGTCGTCTGTCCGTCTGTCTGTCTGTCTGTCTGTCCGTCCGTCTGTAAACAATTTTTCAAAATGCTACTCCTCCTACAGTTTTGGTCTGATTTCAGTATAACTTGGCACACAAGTAGACTACACTAAGATACATAATTCTGTGTATCGGTTTTTGATTTCATTGAATGGTGTTGCCATGGTTACTAAAAATAGAAATTTCTGTGAAAAACATTCAAAATGCTACTCCTCCTACAGTTTTGATTTGATTTCAATATAACTTGGCACACAAGTAGACTATACTAAGATACATAATTCTGTATATGGTTTTTGATTTCGATGAACGGTGTTGCCATGATTACTAAAAATAGAAATTTCTGTGAAATACTTTCAAAATGCTACTCCTCCTACAGTTTTAATCTGATTTCAATATAACTTGGCACACAAGTAGATTATACTAAGATGCATAATTCTGTTTATCGGTTTTTGATTTCAATGAATGGTGTTGCCATGGTTACTAAAAATAGAAATTTCTTTGAAATACTTTCAAAATGCTACTCCTCGTACAGTTTTTATTTGATTTCAATATAACTTGGCACACAAGTAGACTATAATAAGATACATAATTCTGTGTATCAGTTTTTGATTTCAATGAACGGTGTTGCCATGGTTACTAAAAATAGAAATTTCTGTGAAATACTTTCAAAATGCTACTCCTCTTACAGTTTTGGTCTGATTTCAGTATAACTTGGCAAACAAGTAGACTACACTAAGATACATAATTCTTTGTATTGATTTTCTGATTTCGATGAACATTGTTGCCATGGTTACTAAAAATAGAAATTTTCTTGAAATACCTTCAAAATGCTACCCCTACAGTTTTGGTCTGATTTTAGTATTACTTAGCACACAAGTAAACTACACTAAGATACATTATTCTCTGTACCAGTTTCGGATTTCGATGAACAGTGTTGCCATGGTTACTAAATACAGGTAAACTTCGGTATCTCGACATCGGATATGTCGACAACCTGGGATATGTCGACGTCCTTCTGCGGTCCCGGCAGTATTTACTATATAAATGATTTGCAAAAACTCTGATATGTCGACCTCGGTAATGTCGACAACCCGGGTTATCTCGACGTATATTCACAGTCCCAAGAGCAAAATTTACCTGGTATATGTCGACATCGCAATTTTCTGCTCTACTGAACCTAATTGTTTGTCAGATACGGTCGCTCGTCACGCATGGACGACTCCGGGTATCTCGACGTCGTCTAAATTTCACACCCATGTTTTACCTGCACGCTGTTTAATTAATTCTATAGACTGTGTTTGTAGGAAAATCCCAAGCCCCCTCGGCGTCTTTGGGAAGTTAATTGCTTAATGTTCAGCTTGGGTAATATCATAAAATCATTGCTAAATCTACACGATTCTGCGTAAATGTACAGACGGTTATTTATATCGAAACCTAACTTTTAAATTTGAAAAAGGTAACTAAATTACAATGAATGACAAACACACTGCTTAATTCAAACTAAGGAATTAAGAGATGTCTTAATGATATTTTGTAGTTAAAATGTATTCAACAGGAAACAATCCAATTAACGACACGATTGACCAAATCAGCGGTAATTCATGCATCTGTAACATCACTACGTTAGTTTAGATACACAAATCTCTTTAAAAAATTAATTTTAATGTACATTCTTCCTAAATAGAAAAAAATAATCCGCATTTAATTTTTTCCGTATATCGGATGTCGATTTTATACGGTTCGAAGTTTATAGACCGCATTTCGTATCCTGTTCTGACAAAAAGGCAAGTTACACGCGAATGCTGTAACTTTGTGCTAAAACTTTGTGAATTTAGAAAGATTTCGATAAAGAAAACGTTTAATATACAAGATTTAAAATAACTCCTTAGATTTTTTATAAAAATAGAGGGAATTCTGAAATATGTTGAGCTACAGTCTATATTGAAGTCATGCACATATAATAAGCTGATAAGCTTGTCTGTTTGGCTATGCAGTGAAGTCTTGGACGTCAAGTCTCAACTCTGATATCTCGACACCTCGGATATCTCGACATTTTCCGATGGTCCCGTCGATGTCGAGATAACGAAGTTTACCTGTATAGAAATTTTCTTGAAATACTTTCAAAACGCTACTCCTCCTACACTTTTTGTCTGATTTCAGTATAATGTGGCATACAAGTAGACTACAGAGATACATAATTGGTGTTATTGTTTTTTGATTTTGTTGAATGATGTTGCCATGGTTACTTAAATCAAAATTTCTGTAAAATTGTTTTAAAAGGCTACTCCTCCTACAGTTTTAGTCTGATATAATAATAAATCTTGCCACAAAAGAGACTAAACCAAGGATCATTATTCTGTTTATTACTGTTGCAAAGTTTCAAGTCCAAGTGCTACTTTTATCTTCCTTTATAAATACAACCAGTAGAGCTACAGTCTCGTCAGAGACTTCTGGTTAACCAGGGTTTTGGGATGAAGGAAAGAGAGAGTTTGTTTTGTTTGGCTTACCTATGTTAAAGACCTACTGCTTTAGAAAAACTCTTTTGCTCTTAAATCAACTGATATGTTATAAGAAATTTCCTTTATTTCACAACAAATAATATTTTTTGGTGGTAAAATTTCCTTTTCGATTAACTCTTTTAATGGTTCTGAAACAATTAGCCTGAAACATTTTTAATAAAACTTGTAGACATTCTAGAATCATTTCACATACACAGTAATAAGGAAAACTTCAACTTTTTTAGGTGTTTACCCACATATTTTATTGAATGGACAAAATACAGTCAGAATTTACCATTTATATTATCAAAACTTTGATTCTGGGTTGGGAAAAAAAAATTATGTGAAGAATATTAGAAACCTGTAGTCAATCTGCACTTACCAGCTCTTTCCCTCCTATGAGAAGTCCCATAAGAATAAGGACTGAAATACTCCATGTGAGGTTTAAAACTCTTCCTTTCATTACATGTAGTGAAGTCATACAAAGACAAAACGTATGTGAAGCACACTCTAAGTAAACTTCTAGTTTTACATCCCCCTCCCACAAAAGAAGTTTTCTTGGGGGGAGGGGGTACTTTATATATGAATTACCTTGTCCTCTTAGTCTTGTAAAAATTCAGAGTAATGCAGAAACTTCATAAGCTCATAATTCACACAAGGATCGCTAATGACCTGGGGATGTGTGTTGACCCTGACCCAAGATGATTTGGGCAAGTTAAGGTCAGAACTTAACTACATGTTCCTATTAAACACCTGAATGGAATCAGGGGGTGCACACTTCAACTTACTCTTACAGGGTGTGGTTATTACTGTACAACTATAAATGCTTCATGAAATCTGTCCCTTTGGCATTTTCTACATATATACTACATATAAAAATATGTCAGAATCTCTTGTATTTATTATTTTTTCAGTTGAATTTATTATCTTTGCAGATTTAACAAACTTATAATGGAGGATCTTCAGTGGTTGTTGTTAGCTCCCTTTGTTGCCATGGTTATACTCTTGTTAGTGCTACATGGTTTCCCAGCAAAAGACTTGTTACCTTACACAAATCAGTCCAAAAGCAAGTGACAGCAGGATGTAGTATCCATTAATACACTGATTTCATTGGATCTCAAGTTTGGGTGCATTTTTGGTGCAACTAAGAAAAACTGTTTTTCAGATTGAACCTTCAAAAGATTGAATGTCTGAACCATTGATGCTGTTACTTAATCTGCATGCCAAGAACTAGTGCGAAAAAAAGGGCTGTGGAAAACAAATACCTGTGGCTCAGGTTGTGATCTTGAAAGGCAAACATTTTTTTTTCAAAACCTTCCAGAATGGTCTGTGATCATAATTCATAGCGTGAATGTAACAAATTATTATTTTGGTCCATTTTATGTACTTATTTCTACGCAATTATGTTAATGATGTCATTTCATACCAGATGTGAATAAGATGTTAATGTGGCAAAACAGGGTGCGAATAGTTCTCCCATACATTGGCATATAAATTATAAAATTCATAACATTTGCATATATTGATCATCACAATTGTACAAACATTGTATATAATTTTAACTAGACTGAACCAAAGTAAGAATGTGTTTTACTTACAATAAACAGTACTGTACATTTTTGGAGTGATAGGCATGTAGGTTAGAATGATATGTAAAGTATTTTTAATCTGTTCAAATCATGAACTCCATGACTGGATTGGGGTCACAAAAAGGTTTATTTCTAAGATCAAAGGGAGTAATGTGAGTGGTGTGGTCTGAGAAAATTTCATTTAAATTTGCCATTTTTTTTCTCTCATAATTTTGACTACAGAAAAAGAACAGAATCAAATAAAAATCAAAATTCTTTTGGGGAAAAAGAGACAAAACATGAATGAGGACTTATTGAGTGTATGTTCAAGTTTGTGTGAAAATCCTGGCAGCTTGTGGTAGGACAATTAAACAGTTATGTAAGCATTCCCATAAATTGTAAAATCAGAAATGTTAGATTATTTTCCCTGGGGCTAGGATAATTCCTCAATAATGATAAGAATTTAACAAAGGAGAATATATCTAGAGACAAGTCTTCAAAATTCTACCCAGGGACATTGGGGCTAAAATAAGTCATATTGATACATATTAATCTAAAACAGTGGGGCTAGGAAGGGGCTACAATAAGGACTAAAAGTTTACACAGAAATAAATAAGCTTCTGCAAACACAACAAGGTAAAATGTACAAACTTCCCAAAAAACTCAGGATACTGTAAATTGAAATTGTTTGAAATCACACAGTTCAAGCTCAAGGCTAGGTATAGTGGTCTCATTATCCATATAGTTGTCAGAAAGGGAAGAGTGATTCAGGTGAGTGTTGTGGCCTTTTGGGCCTTTACTCAGCTTGTATTGGGCATACACAGATTTTTTGTGATTTTTTTTTTCCATTTTGCATCATATTAACTTGATTAAGGATGTTCCTTTCAGCTGGTGAATTACTAGTAGAATATATCCTGAGTATGGCAAATAATGTTTTTGTTTTGAATCAGGCTATGTGAAAAAGATCTAGATTTTAGGAATATTTCAGCATGCATGAGTTGTTTATTTTTTTTTTCATGGTGTGATCCAGAGAACAATGTGAAAAGTGCAGATGATGCTTTCTTTAATTAAAAATGAAATAATAAAAATAAAATAGAGTTAATATTTAATACAGTGTATTTTGAACTATGTGAGACAGACATCAAATCTCAGGATTATCAGAGTTTTAAGAAAATGTGATTGGTACCATGGATTCATGGTAGTACACACCCATGTAGTTTGCATGTGAAATACCAGGAATCCTGGCAAAGTATAACTGTGTATTTACATGGATATATATATATATATATATATATATATATATATATATATATATATATATATATATATATATATATATATATATATATATATATATATATATCATACACTGAAATATATCAACTTGCTTGCAACAATAGAAAAGACAGGGATACTCCCTGCTGTTTATAGGAATTATTTATATATATGCTAGTAGATTGAAGTTTTGAATATACATGTGATTTATTTAATTCAGACATAACATGCGTCTGATGATATCTCTAGATCAGTAGTGCACTGTAGAGTACCATTTCAATATTTCCTACATGCGCTCAATACATATGCAAGTTCATGTCAGCATACAGCACCTAGCACACTGCTAAGGTATGATAAACACTGTGAATTTTAAGAGCCATTCTCCATAATTAACTCTTATATATAGGAGTAGTAGCGCACATGATCTCAGAATTTCTTCAAACTTGCTGTAATATAAATACCCTGTCAGGCAAAAATTGTTTCCTCTATGTCTTGGTTACTGTGGCAGCGTGCCCTAGAGTTTGATAAAATAGCACTTGTGAACATTTTTAGAGTCCCTTTATTAATGTCTGCAGCAATACACAAAAAGAGGGGGAGTGACTGTTTCGAAAAGTCGAAGGATATGTGTTATATGTATGATAAAAATATCTGGGAAAACAGTTATCGCATTCCTTACAATGGAAACATATTATGGAAAAGCATTCATTTTTTGATCACCTGACCTATTGCTATCTGTTTTTGTCTGTCGTTGTATATCTTCCATCATGCATTAATGTTTGAACATTTTTAGCTTCTTCTCTGAAACCACTGAACCAATTTCAACCAATTTTGTCTTAGAGCATGTGTAAGTAAATTAAGGGAAACATAAATTAGAGTTTCATGATCCCTACCCATGGGGCCTGGTGGGGCTAAAACAATCAAAATTAATGCAATCTTTAAAAATCTTTTTTACTCCTGGACATCAAGCAGTCAAATTATTGGTATGATTGTAATAAGCATTGAACCCTCTACCAAAATTGTGAAATTCATGGCCCCAGAGTCAGTGGCTCTGGAGTGAGGGTGGGGCTCTAAAAATCATATAGTGAAAATGCATAAATTTATAAAAAAAATTCTCTGTATATTTAGCAGATAAACTAATTACATGGTTATGATGAGCAAGGGTACCACTTCCAAAATTGTGAAATTTATGTCCTCATAGTTTGAAATTCTTCTCACCTCCTGGGTATTTAAGCAAACAAACTAAGTGCATGGTTATGATGAGCAAGGATGCTTCTTCCAAAATTGTGAATTTCCTGGCCCCAGGATCAGGGGTTTTGATGTTAGGGCAGGGCTTTACTGATTATGTAGTGTAATACATTATTTCTTTTCTTTTCTACTCCTGGGTAACAAACAAAGTATCTCTACTTAGTTATGATGAGGTTTCTTTCCAAAATTGTGAATTTCATGGCCACTGGGTCAGGTTTTTGGTGTTAGGATGGAGCTCTATTGATTATTTAATGAAAATGCACTAATTTTTTGACCATCTTCTTTGCTCCTGGGTATTTAGCAGATAAACTAATTACATGGTTATGATGATCAAGAGTATCACTTCTAAAATTGTGCCCCAGGGTCATCGGCTCTTATGTTGGGGGAAGGGGGGGGGTCTATTGATTATATAGTGAAAATGTATCATTTCTTTGAAAATTTTCTCTGCTCCTGGATATCAAGGAAACAAACTTAGTGCAAAGTTATGATGAGCAAGTGGAGCTTCTTCCCAATTTTGAATTTCATGTCCCCTGGATCAGGGATTCTGGTGTTAGGGTGGGGCTCTATTGATAATATAGTGAAAATGCATTATTTTCTGTGAAAATCTTTCTACTCCTGGGTATCGAGGAAACAAACTAAGTATATGGTTATGATGACAAATGTTGCCTCTTCGAAAATTATGAGTTTCCTAACCCCAGGGTCAGGAGTACTGATGTTAAGACAGGGATCTATTGATTATATAGTGAAAATACACTAATTCTTTGACCATGTTCTTCTCTGTGCCTAGGTAATTAACAGATAAACTAAGTGCAAAGTTATGATGAGCAAATGTCCCTCTTCCAAATTTGTGAAAATCATGGCCCCTGGGTCAGGGATTCTGGTGTTAGGGCTGGCCTATATGGATCAGATGCTGAAAATGCATAAATTATTGTTAATATCTTCTTTTCTGTCCCTTGGTATTTAACAGACAAACTAATTGAATGATTATGATGAGCAAGGTTGCCTCTTCCAAAATTATGAAGTTTATAGCCAGGGGTTTGGTGTTAAGATAGACTGCAGTTGAATATATAGTGAAAATGCAATATTTCTTTAACCATCCTCTTATCTGCCCATGGGTATTTAGCAAACATATCAAATGCATGGTTATGGGGAGCAAGGGTGTTTCTTCCAAAATAATGAATTTCTTGGCATTTTGATAGTGATAAATGGTGGCAAGTAGATAGATTTACTTCAAGATTTGTCACTGAATACTAGACAAATTATTTCGTTGATCCCTGATTATCCTCTTCTTTTCCTCTTGGGCAACATTGCTTTTTCTTTAGTTTATTTCATACATTAGTGTTGTACAATAGTCAGGTGACCGCTAAGGCCCTTGGGCCTTTTGCTTTGATTCATTCTGGTTAGATATACATTAAGAAAAAAAAATAATTAAAGCAATTATGAATTTAAACGTAATCCCATATCAGAGACTGTAATATATTTTCAGAGAGAATTTTTTTTTTTTATTATTGGTAGCTTTGACAGTAAGATAAAACGTTATTTCTGATTAATTTCCACCTGTGTCTGTTAACAGCCGAGACGTTTTTGAAAAACGGGAGAGCAATTTTTAAAGCCATTGGTGTTGTCTGACTTTCTGCGTTTCAAAAAGTTCAAAATTTATTTTCGTAATAGAGCGTTGCGTTGGATATTGTATGAAAAGCATACAGAAATTTCAAAAGTATTAGTTTATCCAGGAGTATGTAATTTTACGGAAGCGTATTAGGGCCGCAGCAGTGTCTTTTATTAATTTGTTTTAAGAAATCATTAATTTGCTATAACATATTATTAGTTTGTTATCACAAATTATCAATATGATATAGCAAATTATCAATTTGTAGTATTTCTACGAAATAAAAATGATTTAACTAAGTTCTTTCATGAGGAAAGGTAAAAATAAAGCCATATGCAAGTCGGTTTATAGTATTTCATCTTTCATTAGAAGCTGTTGAACCAGAGCACCTTAAGTTATGTCTCAATGTAGAATAATTATCAAGCACGTAGTATCGGGAGAGGGGAACCTGAACCCCCCAACTTTTGTTCCAAACATAACTTTTTGTTGTCGAAAATGTTCATTGAAAGGCTGGTCCCCCTTTCTGTTACAGTATAATGTGGTAATGTATTAATAAAATTTGTTTGTAAAAAAGTTGGAACCCACTCTCCTCCCCCAACGTAAGTTGCCAAATACCCCCCCCCCCTTTTACAGACTCTCAAAAACGATATTACGTGCCCAGTGATAACATTTCTGAATAAATTTTCTAACTAAAACTCGTGCATCTCTAACGTTTTATCAGTGTATTCTATCTTTTTTTTCAAATACTGATGCGTAATTTACTGATACTTTTCTAAAAGTAGTATAGACTTCGAATGGCATCTACATTTGCCTCAAAACATATATAATCAATTGGTTAAAATAAATGAAATATAATAATAACAAATATTTTTAACGGAATAGTAGCATTTACTACTCTTATTTTCTTATATCCTACACTGGAAATTCTGGGTCCGCCTCTGGATGTTATAATCACGTGATCTTCCTATGCAATAGAAATTTCTCGGGTACAACACTTCCGGCACGATGTTGAACACTGTTCATGGCAGGAGCATGCATAAGTCGTGGTAAGCAGGCCCATCTCTTCTAGCGCAGAATTTAACTTTTAGGAGGATAAGAATGTAAGTTTTTGAGTAGCTTTTTTAACAGTTTCATGTGAAATGCATGTATAGATGATCTTTTACTGTAAATTTAAAATATTTTAAGTTAATCGAACACTCATGGCAGCGACTGAGCGAAGCAGAACACTCTGTTACGTTTGCTACACGGTGATAAGTTCACCACCCTTTTCCGTTCTCGTGTCGGTAATAATGATATCGGTCCCATGCGCGAATCTAGTTGGGGGGGGGGGGTGGGGGGTCCGGACCCCCTGGAATTTGCAGTGATATAAAAAGTACAGTAGATGTATATACCGAGGCAAATAAAAAAAAATGATTTTGGACCCCCCCCCCCCCAGCCAAGAAAACGTGGACCCCACCATCACCACCATGAAATATGTGTTTTTCACTTTTTCACGTTTGGGAAATGGATTTTACCATTTTTTGTTTGCTTTTTTTTTTTTTTTTTGGTTGTCAAGAAATTTTTGGGTCAGAATTTTGTTTGACTGGGATGGAACCCCCCCCCCCCCCTTCGAGAAAAAAATTCCTGGATCCGACCCTGGGTACCCTCCTGCAAGTTTTTGTGATTTAAGAAGATTGGCAAACAAGGTGTGCAAAATTGCCCATAGCTTCAAATGTATAAAAGTCATATATTACTTACGAATACATTTTTATGAAACACTAAAACATATTGCATATTAAAAAAATGGTAAAGAGGATATGTTTGATACCTGCTGGAACCATTGGAATCATTATTTCAATGATTTTCTTTAAAATGTAGATGTATACCAGGGCCGGCACAATCTCTTGATTTAGCTATATTGCTTGAAATAGCTATATAGCTTTAATAAACTATTCAAAATAGCTTGATTAATCTATTTTGTTTTTTTTT